AAAATTTAAAAATATAAAATTTACAATATAGATTATAATAAACGCTAGAAAAAGTCATATTCTAAACATAAAATTATAAATTTAGTATATTGTAACTTACAATTATAAATCATGTATAAATCATTTAATATAAAAGAACTATTTTGAAATAGTAAAATTTGCAAAATTTTTCATTATCATAGATATATCTCAAAATTCATTATTAAAAAGCGTTATAAAATACTACATTAGTAACCAAGTAATAATCATACCATGTGCCAATAATCATTCTGTGAATATCAATGCGATTTCGGACAAGCTTTACATTATGAAACATGTGTCTCGTAATCATTGAGGCGAATAATAATTTGAAAATATGTTACCCTTTCTCTCTGTACCGTGTCTCTCTCTCTCTCTCTCTCTCTCTCTCTCTCTCTTTCTCTCGGTCTCGCTGTCACCATTATTACCACAAAGCGCCCTAGCGGCTTCAGGACATTAGTGTCGCACAGGCATGTAACCGCAAAAGTAGCGAACAGACCCAGCCACCATTATAAATGCATTAACTCTCCCCTTAGTTTTCGCCCTCTCCTTCTTGCCGATGTGCCATTTTTTCGCTTCTGGCTGTTACAGCTGGACGTTCGTGATATACGTCTTCGGCGAGTCGCGTTTATCGCTTTTCGACTCGCTAATCGTCGAGCTTACCTCGTTGCGTGCTTGAAAAATGTCAGTAAATAATTGAATTTCTGATTTAACTTCTGGAATACATTCGCCACTGAAGACAAAGACGGAGAGTAGGCACGGCAATAAAGTATTACACATATTACAGTCATTATTTTCGTTATTTTGTCATCATTAAAATACGAATGGGGAAATATTAAAATACGATCGGACAGGAAAGAGGAGAAATGCGAAAGGGATAATAATTTCTCAAGTACCGCGACAGTAATTTTCAAGTCGATTGACGCTCGTAATACTCGGACGCGTTTCCTGTCTCACGAAGGGCGCCGCGCGTAAGTCACCCCAAGATTTCTAAGCAACACGTCACTTTGACACTCGACAATGACGACGGGAGAAACGCGTCGCTCGGAGCGATGCGATCGATTTTCAGGAGTGTTCGCCGTAAGAAAGGACGGGAACTTTTTCCGGCGTGGCCAACACGATCTGGAGGAACTGCACGATCATTAGGATAGAAGCGGTGATGGAAGCGATCGTTACACTTTCTTCGCCAATCTCCAACCCTTCTCTCTCATCCTCCCATCTCGTCTCATTCGAGCGAGATCAAGCAGCCCCCTCGAGCACCTCAGGAGGCGATAAATCAATGACTCCTCTCGTCTCTCCTTCTTTCTCTTCCCGCCTCTCCCTCTCCGAGTCCCCTGTTACTTCCGGCCCCCCTAGCTCCTAGCGGACGACTATAAAAAGCCAACGGGCAATTAAGGGTGTTTTAGAGTGGCTGCACTCGAAAATCGCTATCCCCAGCAGAAAGTGGGGGAATTAAAAAACATTACTCATCATATAATCGCACGAGCGGTTCCCGGCGCTGTCTGTCACCGTCGCTCTTTTTCCCTTTCTCTCTCTTCCCCTCTCTCTCTCTCTCTTTCTCTCTGTGATTCTCGCGCTCGGACACGCTCGTCCTTCTTGCGCCTCCGACGTGCCGGCAGAAAAATGAGAAATGATCGTGGCTCGATTCAGAGGTGCCTGTTTAAAATTCATGAACGATTTTACTGCAACCTCCCCTATCGCAACCCGTCACAAAAGGGCGAGCAGAGCCATATCGGGAGAGGGGGAGGGGAGAGAGAATGAGAGAGACAGTGAGACTGTGGCCCACATTCGCGACTATACATCAGCACAGAATCGCCGAGAGAACAAGAGAGGGGGAGAGAGGGGTGGGCTCGCACCCCACGAAATATATTAATTGTCGAATTTTCCGTGCGAGCTGCATATCCGTTAGAGCCGCTTTGTCCCTTGCCAGGCGCGGATCTCTTGATTATTAATTACTCCGACCACCAAGTGCATCCCACTCTGCCCTCCGCTCCTCGCGGCTATTACACCCTGTAACATTTGCGGTTGCGTTTCGAAGGTACGATCTTTTTTTTATTGCGGCCGCAATTTCAACAAAAAAAAAATATAACAAATGTACGCGACACGTCGGTGGTGCTCGTTAATTATCGCCTGAATTTCATGCGTCGAATTTTTATCGAGACAGAGTTGAGAGACAGAGTTGATTTGATTTATCATCGCGAACAAAAAGTGACCAGCTCTGAAGATCTCGAGGGATATGCAATTCGTCGACGAAATTTTTTATTTGATTAGATGTTGATAACGATAAAACTACGGATAATTGCCGATAAGTTCTAAAAATGTTAATTATCTCAATTAAATTTTTAGCGTATCTCTATCTCCAACTGTGATGATAATTAATTTCATACCGACGATTCTACGTCCTAAATACCGATCATATAACTTTTTCTCCTACGGCGGAAATATGAAAAGTGAAAATTTCTGAAGATATTATCATTGAAGTTGATGATGAAAATTTTCACTTTTTATGTTTCCGTAAGGAAAAAATTACATACCTGGTATCCTGATTCAAGAGGTATTTAGATGAGGTATTTAGATATAATCACCTAGTGAAAACCATTCTCTAATATTCGAAATCATTCGTTCAAGAAATCTAGCATTGATTGACGTCGCGATAACACATCTGTACATATCATAATTATGGTTGAATTAGTTACGAGCTACAAGGAACAATATGAGGAGCATATACGTGTACATATATATTTATATATATATATTTTTTCGAAGCGATAGTAGCGGGGGTGGCAAAAACTACTTGCACTTATCGAGCAAGAACGTCGGATGTAATTCACGCCTCGCTGCCACGGAAGGGTTGTAATTTTCTTGATATTATTCATGAACGTTATGGCAGGTTGGCTCATGTAATATAATAGCCCTTCACAGTCGTTTTCTCTTTACGTACATTTTTCTCTGTCTTATCCGCCTCATTTCGTATTAAGCCGCTCAACGCGGCACTTTAATATATTTCTCTTATGAAGGGCGAGTTCCCCTAATCGCGTGAGCACGCGCTCTCATATCATGTTTATCAAACGAAGAAAAAAAAATTCAAGTTTTCGAATTATTATACGAAGGTTACAGGTTTGATAATTCGTGAAACGTCGATACCTTTCGGGATCCCACATTCTTCTTCTTCACTTTCGTCTTACTGATAAATCTTAACCATCGGCAAAGATTAAAAAAATTTACTTACAATATTTCATCATAAAAACGTCTCATAAAAATTATTTTTACTGTCAAGTTTTTTTAGCATAATATAATATATCTCTTCTTTAAAAATATACCCGGAGAGAAAAATAAAGAGAGAGACAGTTCTTTGCCCCATTAATTTAAAATATTATATGTATAAACGAGTAAAATGTAAGCATGTAGGTTTCATAATTATATTTTCGATAAGTGCGAATATCTCGTTATTTCAGTCATATTAATTCCTCATATATTTCATTTATTCTCAGAAGTTGACTTTACAACGAAAGATCCGCTATCAGTACCTTCAGTAATAGCTCGAATAAACATTTCGCTCTCTCCATGCGCTCACACGACATATATTATTTTCCTTCTATTCCATTTTCTGACGCACACATTACATTCTTTTTTTAGCATCCAAATCGCACATGCATGTGCCTGATGCACGCCATTCGAAGATTCCGTTGGGCACAATTTGTTTCACTGTACAACCGATCGCGCGAGTGTAATTCGCGTATTGATTCTTGCGAAAAGTATCATGATTTTCGCGGTATGATTTGCAGTGTTACCGAGCAATAATGTTCAGTTAATACGGCCCTCGGTAGAGAATTTCGCCTCGTGTCTCTCTTCGTGTTCCATAGCGTTCGTTTCGTTCCCGTTACACGATATCAACCCTTCCCAGACCCATGCGGCCTGTTGATATATCTCTGTCTCGCGCGCGTCTAAGGGCGCTTTTACGTTCGCAGGTGCGGCTCCGGCATATGTATTCGTGACGCGTGTATACGTATGCACGTATGTGTGCGTATGTATGTGTGTGCGTGCCATGATACGCGATGATTAGGCACTGAAACTCCACGGGCTATTTGTTAGTATAATAAGCTCCCGGTAGTGTGGCCAACGTAACCACTTGGCGGCACGCCACCCCGTTTTAGCGTAATTGTCCCAGATCGAGATTTACATACGTGAAGGAGGGCGAAGAGGGAGGCACTCTACGAGAGAGGGAAGGGGATCGGGAGTCCCAGGGAGAAATTGCAGAAAGCCCGTGATTGCTTCGGGTGGTGGTGGTGGCCTCGAAAAGCCACCAGTCGATCCCTTTTATGCCGGCGAAACTTCGCGCTATACGAACGAAAGAACCGAGCAGCTTGAATACTTGGAACGGATCTTATCGCTCGCCGTTAGAATCTGGAAAACTACCGTGGAACTACGCTATGCTCGCACGTGCTTCCGGCGATCAAGCCTCATATCGCGATATCGTGGCTCGCGCGGGCCCGCCGTTTGACATTGGTAGGCCAAACTTAGATCCATTTTGCCGATATTACGTTATAAGAATAACGATCGCCCCGATGTAAATACCTTGAATAGCCGAGCCGTTTTTCATCGCCGGTCATTACCGACGTATAGCCTTCATCAAAATACTGAACACGTCAGTAGTTTTATGATTCTTTTTTAGTGCCGACGCGCGTCATTCTTATATGCGCGATATTAAGTTAGGTCAAAAATATCAATGTTCGTAAATTATTCTATATATATTCATTATCTTATAATTACAACATTTTTCATATTATGACTGATACATTTCTGTAATATAATATAAATTTTGTATTCAATATGAAGTAATTATGCGTCACATTAATATGCATTAGTAATTTCTATTAAAAAAAAACCTTTAATTCGATCTTTAAACTTGAGTGCAAATAAATCGCGAGGACATTCGCGCGGAATTATTGTTACTCACGTGCTCGCCTCCTTTGTACTTTCAGAACGAAATGGAAGCGACAAACGATCGTGGGTTTCGAGATCATGGCCGAAAACAATTTCGCCGTTGCCGCCTTCCAGCATCTGTACAGCGGCAGCACCGCGACCATCCCCGCGCATCCTGCCGCAGGACGCTACTGGCAGTATCCCAGCGCGCACGCGTTACCCGCGAACGGATTCTTCTACCAGCCATCATCGGCGGCGGCGACTCTGCAGAAGCCGCTACCCTATCGCCTGTATCCGCCCATGATCCTAGCGGGGCCGAGCAATCCACTTGGCTCCCTGACCGCGAGCTCCAGCCTGTCGACTCTCAGCAACTACTACAGAGACAGCCCGGAGATGGCCGACGGCCGGGAGTCCTCGAGGAAGAGGGACAGGAGCAAGAGCCCGGAATCGAGAGACAGATCACCGACTAGAAAGCCGGCGAGACTGTACCCGCTGCAGATGATGCAGGCGGGTCCTAGCAATCCTCTCGGCACCATGCCGACCTCCAACATGAACAACTACTACCGAGGCAGTCCGGAGTTAATGGAGGGGAGGGAGAGTATGGACAGATCGAGGAAGCAGGAGAGGAGCAGCAAGAGCCCGGACTCCAGGGACCGATCGCCCCTCAGGAAGGACGTTAGATCTTATCCCTCGACGATGATCCAGGCGGGTCCCAGCAACCCTCTCGGACCCCTCGCGACCGGCTCGAACTTATCGAACCTGAACAACTACTACAGAGACAGTCCGGAGATAGTGGACGGGCGGGAAGGCATGAACCGAACGCGACAGCGTGACAGGAGTCAGAGCCAGGACAGATCGCCCGTGCAGAGGGAGGACAGTCCGCGGAGTGTGAGGGCTGACAGCGACGAGGAGAGCATACACGACATCTAGGGCATGGAGAATCCTGGTACCGGCGGTGGCACGTCGGGGGTATTGCACGAGAAGGAAGACAAGTATGTCCTGCAGGATAATTAGGAAACGAAATGCCGTGTGGAATGGATTGATTTCCTTACCGACGATCACTTCGGAATGGACGGAACGAAGAATTCACATCAGAAAAGATAGAGAAGCTGTCAAGGGGAACATGATCCCTTTGGAAGTGCTCTCGTGTGAAATCGGGCAGCTATTGAAACGTAGGGCAAGCTTGAAAGTATACTGACTGACGCGATAAACTCATCGCGAGAGAAGAGCCGATACGGATAATTAAAATCAAATTCACTTAACTAGCATTAATCAGTCAATTTCGAACGAGAGATAACGAAGTCGCTCAAATTTCAGCAGCTATTGCATTAACAGTTCATAAATAAACAAATCGATTCCCACATGGAGAATTTGTCGGGAGATCGGTCGATAAAATTTATATAATTCTGAAAGGAACGCGCTGTATATATACATATATATCCTTGAGAACTTGCATCGATCCACGCAGCTATCGCGAATCCGAGCGAAGAAGAAACGAATGCAGCTGATACAACGAGACCGTTTAAAATGCTAAATACCGAAGTGTTGAACGCAAGCATCGAGGAGAGACTAAGTATAGAGATTACTTCACATCACCGGTTATTTTAAAATCTGGAGAAAGCGAAGTGAAGAGAGATCCGGGATTCTCGCGAAGTTCTGAAGCGAAGTCGCGCGGCGAAATGAGATGCGAACGGAACGGCACGGCGGCCGATTTCGTGAGGTATAACAGGAAGTGACATAGCACGGGACGTCCGGGATTTTGTAGATAATGAGAGCGAACAGGAAATATCGTGCGGTTAACCGAACTTCGTGATTTGAGCGTTCAGTGAATGGCGGGTTACGGTGAAACAATATATTCAACGTTGATACGATCGGGCGTGTATTATAGAGAGCGGACGAAAGTAAAGATCCCCGTGCCTCACCGAAACATTATCCCTCGGACAAATGGAGACTCATTATTACTCGTTCATTGTCCATTCGTTATTGCATTTTCCATTCCTTCGCGTGGCTCGTACGATTGGCCCGTCGCTTGAAAAAGGAAAACTTGTTTTTCCAATACTTTTACAATTTGCAGAGTAAAATTATTTACGTTCACGAGTTTTATTTCGATCACAATTATCGGTAATTACACTGCGATAATTATTTAATTTGGATTTACGTGTTGATTAATTTTATTGCGAATTTTATTGCTCTCTTTAATATTTATAATTAAATTACGTTCTTCACCGCGATATAACATGCATTTTTTTAAACGATTCTCTTAACATCAATGATTTCCTTGCAGAATGATGTAAGAGTTTGTACAGGCGAATGATATTACATTATCGACAAGAAATTTCGCTGTGCCAAAAGTTTATATTCAATTTTTTAAATCTTACACAATTTTAAATAAAATTCTCGCCCCTCTGATGCCGAGAATGCTCGTACATCTGCAAAGAAATCAATCGATATTTGCGATTACGGTGATTTTTGTGTGGTTTTCAAAATTTATCGCATGCATTCAATTTGCAACACGGTCTAATGCGATCCGTTCATAGCAACGAATACTTATAAGGAACCATGTCGATTAGAGAACCCGGCTCGATTGGACGGTTTCGTGTGTCGAGGACGGTTACAGTCGCGCCAGGAAACGGGCCAATCGCGGACGAACGCGAATGTACAATTAATATGACATTAGAGGGGACCTAGCCGCGGGGGAAGAAATCTAAAATGACACGAAATTACACGCGGTCGCCACGAACGACAAAAAAAGGAGGGGGCGGCAAATGGGGCATCGAACGCGAAGAGAGGAGAAGGGGGAGGGGAGAGTCTCGACTATTCAAATAACTGCGTTCTCGTGTCGGCGGAGCAAAACCTGGCATTTTACCTGCCGTTCTTCCCCCCGGGAAGACGAACGTATCGGGCCGGCTTAATTAATATCGACGAGATCTACATAAGTGACGGTGATGGTCCCGAAAATTGCACGACACACCGGCGACCGGTAATTTGTGAACGACAACGGCAGCGGACTCACATATATTTTCTTCTTTCTTAGAAAAAAAAAAAAGATCGATACCTTGATCGTGGTAAACGGAGTCGTAGTATCGATTGTTGTAAGTTAAATACGAATTACGTGTGGGAGAATCCTCGTCATACCATTGGTATGAGTCCTTGTTGTCGGTTAAACGACACACAGTGATAGGCGATTCGCACGATAAACGACGATGACGATGCGACGTTTGCGTCAAATGATGATTACATGTCTCTACGCGATACGTTTCCATTCTCTTAAGGCCGAAAATTATACCGAATCTTACGCGGAAAATTGCTAAAATGTTCTCGGAACTATGACGAGACTGGACACGAATGGAGTTAGACATTAACGAGAACTCGTTATCTGATGAGAAGTAAAACTATCTAATTAGGTAGCAATTCTTGCGTCGTTGGTACGATCGATAGATTAAATCGGTAGTTCCAAAAGATAAAAAAAAAACGTTAATGTTGAAACGGAGAAATGTTAAATATTCCTTACAAAAACGGGAAACTAAGTTTTGTACCGATCGAACGTTCTCGTCTACGGAATTCTCGTAGCAGCGAGTTGGTTCGTTCGACACGAGCGATTTTTCAACTTCGGTCTCGTAAAAATGTGAGCTGCGCTATCCACTTTGTAAATATGACCATCCACGCGTAGATGGAGATACATACGAAAGCTGTAAATATACGAAGATGGGGAGAGGGGGAATCGGACACGAGCCTCTACGGGATGAAGACGCGCGAGGACGGAACGAGTCCGTGAGACTTGAAGCCAAGATACGAGATGCGAGATATTTCAAAGTATTTTTCAGATTTCAGTATACGTAGCGAGTACGCGAGACGCGTTCTCGAGAGATCGAGCGTCGCGAGACGTTTTCTCTTTTTTTTTTTTCTTTCGCCGGCGAGAACGCGGCGTTTCGATATTTCGACGACACGACACGCGACGCGTTCGATAAGGACATACCAGTATTATGAATGTATAAAATTAGGCTGTACAACGTGCGAGAAAGAGAAAGAGGGTCTCCCGTGCGGAAACGCAGATGCGTCCCCGGGAAATACCGCCGGCGGACGTCGACCCGCACGGCGCGTTTAGTAGTTTAAGTAACGCAGCAAGAAGTACTTAGAGTATATGAAAACCCATGCTTTGTAAAATAATGTCTGTATAGCGAGAATTATTATATTATATGGAAAATATATTATACTGAATTTAACGTGTTTTGCGTTCTTCTTTCAGATCCGTCGCGCCGAATGCGTTCCCTCGCGCACAAATCTCGATTGATCACAAACAAATTTTTTGATCTTTTTTTGTATTTATTTTTATCGACAATCACTTCGGACAAATCAGTTTAAAGTTTCATGAGTTTTTTTTTTGAAATTCAAGATTTCGACGTCTCGAATTTCTTTTCTCTAATGTCAGATCGATGTTAGATTTTTTATCTACTCTAATTAAATTTTAATTATATACAAAGAGTTTATCGAGTGATCGTTTATGAAGAAATAACGAAAGGCAATCGGGTTGGTTCACGCGAGAAAAAAAAATACAAGGTGCTTCGTTCCGACGTTCTGACGAAGGGACGTTCCGGCCGCCGGAGCTGAGATCGCTGTCACGAAAGCGCCCGAGCCTTTTCGTTTTAACGTTCAACTTGCAACTCTGTGCATAATGTAAGACGACTGGATTGGCGTTTAGACGAATTGCCCTCGAGGCTCCCGGGACATTTTCACGCGATGATGCATATTGTAACGTGCGCGATTAAGTGAACGCGCGCGCTCGGTGCACTCATTTTACGACTGTTAGGGTAAAATTGCGCGCGCGTCAAATTACTTTACGCAACTCGCGCATTTTATTCGAGAAGCTTTAGATTCGAACAAGTGAAAGTCCACATATATTCTTGAAAAATAAAACCCGAGCTGAGCGCGTAATCGTCGTCCGAGAATAATTTCGAACTGCTCTTTGAGCGGTAAGTGGTTTTACTAATCTACCTTTTTCTTCTGGCACTCCTCCAAGCATAATAATTAAATAATTTCAAGTCTTTTTTTTCTGAATAAAACATCAAACGCCATTATCCGACTTATTGCAGAGTTTATCTTTCGTATTCTTTCACATCAGAACTCATCAATTAACACGATTAATTAGTCGAGTCAGTAACTTTTCCCACACTTTTTCTGATCTTTTGGATGATAACGAAACTCAAAACAATCATTACTCGAAATATTTCTTAATAACAGCTAATTTCATTAATGACATGATGATGATTTTGCGCCACGAAGTAGAAACTTCGAAGCAATTAAAGCTTTACTTTCTACGGCATTACGTATATCTCTGCCAGGCCTCGGTGGGTTTCGCGTATCGTTTTGCTACATCGTTATCCTCGCTTTACAATTTCCGCCGAGCATAAATGTACGGCAGAGTTTATAACCCCAGAGAGGATAAACGAAATTCAGGATATACGCATATACGCGTTACGCGTTTAACTTTAAAAATTTAATTATTAGACCGTATTACGAATGTAGCATTCAAGTCCAATTACTCTGACAATAATGCAAGATGTAAACAATGGGTCTCAGATTTTTTTTCAGATATTTAGTAAAACACTGATAATAATAAGTCCAGGCTTATGCGAAAACACAACATTGTTGAAAGTTTATCACGAATTATTCTCAAATTATACGAAACAATCTTGGAACATCTACGCAATTTCCGGGTTGAACTTTCTAAAATTTATCTAAAATATCGCGATTCTGCACGAAATACCAATTACAAAGGAAAAAAAGGAAGAGAACATTGGCGTATTCATTTCCGGAATTATATATCCCGATGACAAATTTCACGGAAGAACGAGAACGCAACGTACGCGGGCATCATTACGCTCCTCCTTCCCGCGCGCGTGTCCCATTAGGTCGAAATTTCGGCGCGGTTCAGCGACGTGTAATTTGGCGAAACCCTTATAACGTCGTCGTCGAAGGCGAAACCCGGCGAGCGTGACAGTGTGCACGGGGCTTAATCGCGTTTGCTTATTTCCGCCGTTGGCCGGTTGCAATTATGTTGTGGAGAAGGCTCGCGCGCGCGCGCGCGCGCACGCTCTCGCACTCTCGCCTCCCTGCATAAGGGCTTATTTTATTCCTATTAGGGTAAAACGGGTAGCCGGGACGGACGGGACGCACACACTACCGGTGTACCCACAATTACGTGAAATTAATTTGGGCCCCATTAGCGGTCGGCCGCGCCGCTCTGCCGGGGCACTAACGATTTTCCCCAGCGGCGGACACGGTCGAACGAGACGGTGGCCTCTCGTGCCCGCAAATACTATTGTACATATTCGAGCAACGTATACGTTGCGCGTATATCACGCACCGCCGCATTCTTTCGCGTCACACACGACACATTGCAGCGTTTCTTCCCGCGAGACGTGGGACCCGCGCGCGCGCGCGAGAGAGGGACTTATGGAAATTCTTAATCGCGCGCGGTCGGCGTCGTTAAGTTACGATATCCACCGCGATACTAATGTTGTACGGTTGCTACTTATGCAGCTCGTCGCGCCGCAATCATGAATCCGCCGGGGTGTGCAATTATTTTCCTTAAGAGACCCATAAATTATAGTTAACCGAGTATAAACTGTACTTGTTGCTTTTTGATTAATGCAAATTTACACGTGTACGCCGCAAAAATTATCCATCCCTTAACACATTCTTTTCACTTTGTATTACGAGCTGCGCTATTGTGAACGGGCGCTCGGTGATAAATTAAGTCGTAATTAAATCAAAGGCCAATTATAATTTGATAAATGCTCGTCTTTCAGATTTATTACGGGAAGAGTTAAGTGATTTACGTAAAAGTTAAAGGTTACATTATACTGTGGGTAGGCACGCAGCTAAAGTAGCTAAAATAGTTATAACCTTCGCCACGCGAAAGGATCTTTAAACATTTTCGATGTAATCGCGATTTTCCATTGCAGGTTTGCACCGTGTAATAAACTCGTCCAACGAGAAAGTCCTCCTAAACGGCACTGGCCATTTGTCGTCGAGGAAAGTGTACGTGTAATGAGAGTTATCGTATCATCTTATCTCAGAGTTTTTTCTTCATTCGAGTCTTACTCGAGGCAGCCGTATTTAGATGGATGACACTAAGTGCAAAATTACAGCGGTATTCCCACCGATATGTATATGTACGTCACAAATGACGGTGACTCTCCTCGGTGCAATCGGCGCACTTTGTATAATTGTAGGCTGCGACGACGAGCGGATGCGCTTATTAGCTGAAAGCGGTAGGAAATCACAGTTTTATTATTCTGCTCTTTTTCGCAAGTGTCCGTTAAAGGTTCCACGCGGCTCGCTTCCCGAAGGTGGCGCGGCCCGATGGAAACCGAAGAAGAAAGGAAGAAGGGCCCGGCGCGAGAGGATGTGGTTAACCCCACGGTCAAATCGAGCTTTTGCCGGGTTTCTGCATCCTGAAACGCGGCGACAAAAGAGAATCGCCGGAACAGAAGTACGCGGGGCGTCCTCCTGTGCCCGAGAGTCATCGTGCTGTTGAAGTTGCTTCTTTTAAGTTCCTGTACCGCTTTGTGATTTTGTTTCTTCCTTCGTTCGATGACGCGTCGTTTAAATTACAAGTGTATAAAGCAAGAGGAAATGACAAAGAAAAAACGGCGTTTGGTTGAGAAATTTGTAAGTTTAACTTTAAGATTTTTTGTGATTTTAAAATTTTAATAAATGTATTTTGTGCATTTGCGAATGCAATTTTGCACACTGTCTGATTGAAAAACCGTGTTTATTTGTCTCTTTCAAAAATTAAAGTAAATGAGAAAATGAGAGTGCAAGAAAGAGCTGTACAAAAAAGTTTCTGACCGTAAGTTTTTACGAGAGTGGGCAATGTGGAGTTACACATTTACGTATTTTATGAAACGTACTTCGAAACTGGATAGAATCTTATTTTAACGCGAGAGAAAGTCCGTGAAAATGTCCATCATCGCTTTCATAATGAAGAAATTAACGTTGTTAACAGCATCGATAAACGATTGTATCACATGCCTATAAATTACGCCGGCGGACGAATATTGTAACGCGCTAAATAATTCGTGCATGAATAAATATGATCGATCGGATCGAGTGTTCGCGCGCATCGATCATCGGCACGACCACACGCGATCCCAATTACGCGGACGCCTGCTTAATATTAAAAGCCGGCTGTTCGCTCGAAAAATGGCCGCGGGGTCCTCGGCATGATTATCACGCCGTTTGATAAAATGCAAACGAGCCGGGTCGTGAGCGCGCGCGGTAAATAAAGTTATTTCGTAGATATGCGAATCGCGCGCGCAGAAAAGCGGGCCGCGGAAGGACGCGCGCAGCGGGACGCGCGCACGAAGCGGGGAGACGACGACGACGGGAGAAGGCAGCGGGGAGAGAAGGAGGAGGATCAGGATGAGCAAGAACGTATAATGTGTCGAAAAGGCACCTGCCTCTTTCGAGCTTGTTATCTTCCCATCGAGCGGTCGCAAGAAAAGCAGCTAGACTCGAGTTAGCCGATCTTATCTCGCGCCGAGACCAGCGAACCACTTATATCGTTAATTGCTCCCACTTCCGGTCTACCGCGCCTCGCCTCGTCTCGCCTCACCTCTCTTCACCACCTCCTCCTCTCCGTAACCATCCGGTGAGTAACGTGTGCGTGTAAAGAGCACGCATTACGGCTTCGGGGCGACTTTCGCGAGCGCGCGGTAGTTTTATGCCTTTTTAAGCGATCTCTCGCCTAAGTGGACGCCCAGGAAGAGCAAACATCGGTGTTTAAACGGCCGACGTCAGTCATTGTACTTCATTTAGGGGTAAATGTGATGTTTTTTAAATTTAGCCTGTGCGGCGCGCGGTAGACGGAAGCGTGAAAATTGCCTTCCTGACTGACTGATGGTGTCTCGCGGGTGTGAACCCTCGCGGTTATACGCGGTTTTGCATGGAAATATCTCCGCCACGTTGGTTGGTTGGCGCAAGGAACAAAAATTTAGCTTGTTGTGTTGCATAGATAATTAGGCAGTTCGACGAAACGCATTATTTACATTAACAATGTAATCTTGCAGTATTATATTATTAATATCATTATGCAGCGGATTACGCGTAATAACGTAATTACGGCTAATTATGCAATATCGTACCGCTGACATAAATTTTGTAGGTGACATGTGACAGAATATAAAATGAATTTTATGAATGACAAGTGGCAATAACATGCATATCATACATCATAATTACGCGTATACTCTTTTAAACGCTAAATTATT